AGCAAGCAAGCAAGCAAGCAAGCAAGCTAGCAAGCAAGCAAGCAAGCAAGCAAGCAAGCAAGCAAGCAAGCAAGCAAGCAAGCAAGCAAGGTACATAAGGGGTAGCCATGTTGGCTCAGTTCAAGAAAGACGCCTGTCACCAACGTGCTGATGCGCAACGCAGCTAGAATGGGGTCGATCGCAACATCATAAGGCCTAAGCGCAAATCAGACGAATCTGCCTTCTTCGCGCTTTGAGGCTAGCACGCGCCCATTCTAGCACGAACTGCTTCGCTAAAAAGGGTGGCGCAAGCTGTGACCCTTTTCACTGTCAAGATGTGCCATCTAAGTCTTGTCGCTGCAGTGCCGAAGGGGTCGGTGCGACCCTCTTCATCTTAAAGCAACCCTGGCACAGACCTTTTTGGGAGGCGAAAAAGGGTGTTGAGGTAACGGTTATCGGAATCTATACAAGGTTTCCTCAGTTTCGGACCTACTTTCCGGAAAACCCTCATCCTGAACCTAAACCCTCAAACCTATAGCACAGCCATGAGGTGCTGAGGTTCATGATTTTTTCTCACCGCCGAGGCAACGGCGGTTAAAGCCCTGGACTTCGAAGGCGTGACGGAGGGTGTCTAAGGTAAAAGGGTTTGGGTTTGGGGTTTAGGGGTTTAGAGGCCTACTGTTTGGGCTTTAGGGTGTAGGGTTTATGGTTTAGTGGTTTAAACCTTTAGGGTTTTAGGGTACAGGTTGTTTGGTTTAGGGGATATAGGTCTGCAGAGTTCACAAGGTTCAGGGCCAAAGTTTAGGGTCGGGCATTAGGGGATGTATGTTGGTTCGGGGCGGCGAATAAACAAAGGACGAGGGAATTGGTCGGATTGTCGGTTTATATGATATAGTTATACTGTAAAGGAGCCCAATCCCCTCTTCTAAGTATTGAAGCCGCTATATGATGCGCAGGCTTCGGAGTTTGGACTTAAGAGCTTTACGGTTCCCGGGTGTGTAGCTCTCGAGTGTCGGGCTTTGTACTTTTGGGGCTGACGGGTTTCAGAGTTTCGGAGTCGGACCATGCAGGGTTCGAGGAGCCAGGTTCCAGGGTGTAAGAGAGGGGCCTCCACTTTCGAAGAGGAGTACAGGTTGCCGTTCCTCAGAATTTTTGCGTTTGTTTGTGTTGTCTTTGTCATGACGGCGACGACGAGGGGATCTGCCGCGCCCAGTTCAACTTTGCAACCCTGGCACCTGAAAGCTCTGGACACGAACCCGCCTTCTGTGAGGGAAGACGCCGCACATGATCGCCAAGGAGGCAGGTTTGCCGGAGGCGTCTCGGCTCATTGTTTTGCGGGTGACACAGGAATCGGAAGACAAAGAATAGTTGCATTGCTGTATAACCCCTGTATGTCATGCCTGAGACTCGCAGTGTAATCATACTGCATTATGTAACGAAACCCTGTCCTGATTATTGAAGCCTCTAGGGATCTCACGGTTTCGGAACTCGGGTTTTTGGCACTGGCACATTAAAATGTACTTGTATGTGCGTATATACACACACAGCTCTTGAAGATGCTCCATGCATGTGCTTCACTATATGCATACATGCTGCATACACGTTACATGTGTGTGTGTGGCGTCGCATTGTTTCTTTATTGATTTCGTTCTTTCGGTCGTTATTTCTGTCATTATTTCTAGAGTTCTTTATTTCATTAGTTGTGTCTTCTTATTTCTTGTATTCCTATTTTTACTTATTTCGTTATTTCGTCATGTATCTATTCTATGCTTGTCGTTCTTTCTTTATTGCTGTCTTTTTGTATTTCGTTATGTTTCTCTTTCGCTATTTCTCTCTCTGTCTGTCTGCCTCTCTCTCTCTCTCCCTCTCTGTCTGTCTCTGTTTTGATAGGTACCACAAGATGTATAGGTGCTACAGGTTCAGCTCCCCCACCCTTGCGTCTGTGCTGACAAGCTTACGCTGCATGCTGACATCGTATTTTCGGAGAATGATCGGCGAAGTTGGTAGCAAAACTCGGTGACAGACTCCGTGATCGTTTGTTGGCGTGTGCCTTATTTCTGATGTTGCTGGCAAGACTCGGCGCTTTATGTATGGTCGGCCATGTTGGTTTGCAAACATGGTCCAGATTTCGAAACTCGGGCCCGAACACAACTAGATGGGGCCAGAAAGCGGGAACCCAAAAGTGTGTGCCCTAAACCCTAAGCACTAAACCCTTATAGTACCCTTATACACTTTGCAGTAACCCTTGTTCTTAATCACGTGAATGTATCCACGCATAATCAAATAGCTAGGCATACACTTGTCTTTCATCGCGAGGGCCCGGTGAACATGTTACAGTTTACCATATTGTACTAGAATTTGCTCCACTCGACTAGATTGTACGGTAGTACCTCGATGTCTTACTATATTGTTCTATATTATACGATGATGTATACATTGTAATATGCTAAATGTACTATGCAATGCCATAACAGGCCATAATACACTATCTGAGGCATGGCTGCTATGTCCCATGTGTTTGTGCCTGTCCATCTGACCTATGTGAGCGAGGCTTTTGGAAGCCTGGTCTGAGAAATCCTGAAACCACAGACCACAAGCCTAGCCTCTAAAGGCCCTAGAGCAGCTGTAAAGACTTTGCAAAACTCCATCACTGCCAACGCCTACTATAGGTGCCTAGTTCCATATGATAGAGTTACAGTGCAACATACCCCAAAACCCTATTCTAATTCTTAAGGCCCCTAAAATTGCTCTAAGCCTCCCTTCCCCTAAACCCTAAACCCTTGTGAGAACCCTAAACCCTCCCTTCTCAAAGGCGACCCTCATGCTCTTGGCTGCTGGCGAGCAGGCGTCTGCCAGCCCAGCAAGACATGGGCGTCGGCCTAAGAGCTGAAGCCACGCAAGTTTAGGGTTTAGGGGGTTTAGGGGGTTTAGGAGGTTTAGGGTTTAGGGTTTAGGGTTTAGGGTTCAGGGTTTAGGGTTTAGGAAGAGCTACGGTTGATGATATAGATCCTGCATTGCCCATAATAAGGAATATACCATAATTGCCATAGCTTAGGGTCCTGAAGGTAATGCAGGATTTGTATCATCAACAGTAGTAATGCCCCCAAAGGCTGACCTTAAGGCTTTCGGGACTCGTATTTTAAGGCTTGTGGGCCTGAATACCATACTATATGAGGCTCTTAGGCTAAGTTGAGCCTTATCTCAAGGGGTTGGGCTTCGACCTAGACCCCAAATCTCGCAGAAGAGCAGTCTGCATAACCCCACTAGTTTGGGATGACGTGCACCTAAGGCTTTCGGGGCGAACGTTTCGATTGTGGTGATCTTACGGGGCTGGAGTTCAGTTTGTATGAATGAAGGGCATTCAGGCTCGGGCTTAGAATTCAGGACTCTCTTCGGGGTTGAGACTTGGTTTGTTTTTCTCAAGTGTTCTGGAATGGAAGCACTTCAAGGAAAGGAGCCCTTCAAGGAATTCTTAAAGGAACCCTTCAAGGAATTCTTGAAGGAGCCCTTGAAGAAATCATTGAAGGAGCCCTTCAAGGATTCTTGAAGGAGCCCTACCCGAAATTCTTAAAGGAGCCCTTCAAAGAATTCTTCAAGAAGCCCTTCAAAGACTTCTAGAACTCTCAAAGGCACCCTGCAAGGGATTCTTGAAGGATCCATTCAGAGAATACCCCTAAACTCGAAACTGCTAAACCCTACACCCTAAACCCTAAACCCTTAAGGAGCCCTTCATGGAAGCCTTAAAGAGACCTAGGGAGCAGCAGCTCGGCGAGACGCTGGCAGAGGCCGAGAAGCGGGAGCTCCGAGCGAGGAAGGCACGGTGGGAGCTGGCTGCGTTTACTGTAGCTGTTTAGAAGGGTTTACGGTTTAGGGTTTAGGGTTTAGTTTAGCGGTTTACGGTGTTAAGACAGTTCAGGGTTTAGGGCATTGGGTTTAGCAGTTTGGGGTTTAGGGCGGGCGAAGGGTTTAGCAGTCTAGGGGTTTAGCAGGTAGGGTTCAGGGTTTAGGATTTAGGGATCGGGTAGTTCAGCAGTTTGGGGTTTTGCGGTTCTAAGGGTCGACAAGTTTTGGGTTTTAAGATTCAGGGGTTGGGCTTTCTGTGTCAGCAGTTTACGGGTTTAGGGTTTAAGGGGGTTAGTCTCTGTCAATGCTCCAATGGTAAGCTGGCAACCACTGTTTCTGCTTTCGCAGTTTGAGCTCCTGACTCCGGCCCCGGGTTCAGGGTTTACCTTAAGAGCCCGAAACCTACTTTTGTGTAGGGTCCCTATAAATCCCATATTAGGGTTTATAATAAGAACCTACAAAAAAAGTGGGTGTTGGGTTCTTAAGGTAGGGACCCCTGAACTGCGAAAGCGCGTGGCAGAAACAAATGACGAGTGCACCTTCACAAAAGCCAGGGAGCCGTCAGCGCCGAGGCGGACAGCAGCTGGCAGGCCACATCGGATGAAATGAGTTCTTCAGATGTACTTGAAGGAAAAGGGAGCTCCATAAGTAGGTCAAGCACAGGGTTACCCATAGGGCCTAGAGTAGTTCCTTTTTGGGGTGCATATATAGAATCCTACAAGGTAACCCCAAAAAGGAACTGCTTGAGGGCCTATGGGTCTAATGACAGCATATCCCAGTTCGGATATTCACAGAAGTTGACCGTGCCTCCACATACCTTCAAACAAACCGCATGCAAGGCAGAAGGAAGAAACACAACCTTAGACCTTATACCGTGAAATTCACAGTCTAAACCACTGACATTCTGTAAGTTTTGCTGAAGGAGCTGCGTGCGGCTGCCTGCACCCGTACGTACAGCTACTTCTTTCTGCTGCTTCCACAAGTGTTGTAGCTAAAGTTTGAAATGTTCTGTAAGTTGTGTGGTAAGTTCGAGGTTCATGTTTCGAGATGTTTTTCGGGGTTCGGGCAGCAGGCTCTCGAGTTTGAAGCGATTGTCCCCCAAGCCCTAAGCCCTAAATCCTAAGCCCTAAACCGTATTTATTCTTGATAGCCTCCAGTTCTGGTCTCATGTTTGAGGACATGGGGTCTCAGGGGACGAGAAGCCTCCCTTTTGAATCTGCCAACTTAGCAGCGCTCAATTATGGCTTAGGGTGCAGCACATATATATATATATATGTATGTATGTATGTATGTATGTATGTATGTATGTATGTATGTATGTATGTATGTATGTGTATTTACTTATGTTTACATTCATATTTGTACTTGTTTTTGTTTATACATTTACATAGCAAATTATGTATATGCAGTCTTTTGGGTCCGAGGTCGCTTTGTGCCTTAACCTCCAACTCTAGCCTTGCAATATGGGAGTTTCCGAAAATTAGGGTACCCTATTTTGGGGTTCTTATAATAAGGATCCTACTATTTAGGGTACTATAGTAGGGTCCCCTATTTTGGGAAACCCCCATATGGACTGAGAATGGGAATGGAGGAAAGGCAGGGCCTGCAGATCGGGGTGACTCCAAGATCACCCTGCCTGAGCCTTATAGTGTTATAGTATTCTTTCTAGTCTTATAGTGTTAGTATAGTCTTACAGTATTACTATAGTATTATAGTATTCTAGCATTTTAGCATTATAGCATTATCGTATTATAGTATTATATAGAGAACCCTAAAGCACTGAATCCACAACCCCGAGTCAGAAAGGCCTGGCGCTCACTTCACCCTCGCATGGACGCTTCTTTAGACTCTCGGACACTGCTGGAAATCGATGTTCGGAGATTCAAGTCTTCTAGATCTTAAGCCGGGTCTGTTTGCTGCTGCAGCACAGCACAGATTCTACACAAAGGGTTCAGGGCTTGCAGTAGGGGTTGAAAACTACAGCTCCTCAAACAGACTGTCGTATATAATTCCGCTTCCTGCCTTGGTGTTTCGGGTGCAGGGTTTAGGCATGGCCATGGTGGTTCCAGTAAGCCCAGTATCAAAAGACACCGGGTCCACATCTCCGAAACCGTGAACTAAACCCTAAGCCCTAAAGCTTGAACCAGGGCCTAAATCTGAAAAAGCCTTTGACCTTCTTATCCTTTCGGAATCCCAAACACCCAAACCCTGAACCCTGAACCCTGATGTAAAGCCATGAACTCCCAAACCTGGCTTGGAGTACTTAAAAACGTGATTCCTAAATGCGGAATCACGACGGACCCCTCCCCAAAACTTCGAGCCTGAGCTCCATTCTACTTCTTCACATGATGTATAGCGTACATGGTTTACACTAGATGACATATATATTTATGTCAGAAAGATAATAACATATGTATACATATAAATATATATATACACATACATGTAGACATATATCATGTAAACAAACACATATCACCTATACATATATATATATATATAGACATATATCGTATATACATATATCATATTTACATATATCATATACATATATCATATATATATATATATCATATCATATATATATATATAATATGACATATTCTGTAGTACCTGATTTATGTTCGCCCCAAGCTATATTGGCTCAACTCGCCCAGGAGGGCAACAAGGACCTAGAAGTGAAAGCTCTTCGCATCGAGGCGGGTCTTAGACTATCTACTATAGGGGCCTTAGTAATTAGAATAGGGTTTTGGGGGCTCCTTATTCCAATTATAGTATAATGGACCCCAAAACCCTATATTCTAATTATTAGGTATTCGGGCCCTTACATTACCGCCTGGTGGCATAGACGTTTCGATACCTCCTCATCCCCCACCCAAGTCTAAGCCTCTAAGCCACAATCGCGAAATCTCGAATTCTGAACGCTAAGGGTTTGGGCGGTGTGGGCTTTGGGGAGCACACGCAGCCCTCCCCAGCATGAGCTACTCGGGGTTTGCCACGCCGGACTATGGATCAACTAGTAACACTGGTTCCCTACAGATGATTCAGCTTTTCCGTCGCACACCCTAATTGAGGCCCGGTCGTAGACAGCGTGCTTGTGAAGCCCCAACAGGCCAAAAACAAAACAAATTTTGAAAGTGACGTTATGTCATGAGGTCGTAAATACGGCGTGAAACGTATGTTTTTGTCTGCGTTTTTTGGATGTATCCAACTCATTATTCTGTTTTTACAAAGTAGTATTCGAACTATTCGTTATCACTAGCAAACTGTTCCTTTGTCAGTATTGGTTTGTGCTATTTGTTCTGCTTTCAGGTGTTTTTCATTTCGGACTCGTGTATCTCTATAGTACCCGTTCCATTATCAACATAATACATTACCCCAGATTCCGTTCCCAGCAACTCAACCTATCATCGACTATTGGTTTTAATATGTTTCGTAGTTCTGTTGTTGTGTTGCTACAGTTTTCCGTTTGTGTTCTTGTCTTTGGACTCATAGACTTTGTCAGTGGAGCGGTGTGGAAGAGAAGTTCAGGGCTTGCCTCATTAGGTATTTCTTCCTCGCGTGTTGAGCCCAAGCTGAACCCTGCCTTGGCAGACTTGGTCGGTCAGTCTCGGAACCCTAAGCCGGGGAAGGAGGTTTAGGGTTTAGGGTTTAGGGTTTAGGGGTTTAGGGTTTAGGGTTAGGACCTCGACGACCCCTTCTACACGTTCTCGCTTCCGTCCCAACCGGAGGACACACCCGGGTTGGGTTTTCGAGTCGGCCTGGGGTTCGGATTTTGGGGTTTGGAGGTTGGATGCATCTACTGCGGTTTGGGGGCTGAGTTGGCGACTTATCGGACAAATCCCTCGACTCAGCAAACACCTATGACACAGGATGTATCTACAGCTGATATCTCAGTTGATCTTCGCCCGCGTCAGTACTCTGTGGCTATGTCTCGTTTCTTTGTCAGGCCTTGAACCCTGAAGCTCGAAACCGCTCAAACCCTACACCCCGAAGCCCATGAGAGCCGTAAATCCCGAACTCTGAACTCCAAGCAGCAGTAGTATCACCCTATAGCGTCTGCTTATTAATTGTACTTCCCTATCCGATTGTACACATACACCCCGCCGGCTCCGCCGGCCAACCCCAACAACGACGACCTATTTTGGTGGCATTTTGGAAGTCTTGCGGGAGGGTGTTAGTGGTTCCAGGGTTTCGGGGTGAGGACGTGGTGGTTAACGCATCTTAATGCTTCTTCGGGTTTGATGAATCAAAGCTTACCATGTTTGTTGATGTAGGGTTTAGTGAGTTTAGTTCTCATGGTTTACGACCCCTTAGAAGAACCCTAGGCCGGAAACCCCTAGCGAGCCACCTCAAGTCCTTAGCCTCCGACCCTCCTAAAGTTAAAGTCCATGAGGAGCCTCTCCGGTCGAAGCCCGACAAGCGCTGGAAGGCCCCTGCAGAGGAGGATCACTGTGATGATGACGGATGACGGTGTAGCACTTAGGGACTTACGGTATACGGCATACGGTTTCGGGATTTTTCATGACGGCTCTGACAGTAAAAGGTTGGAAGATGATGGCCTGCGGTGACACCGGCCACGGTGGTGGTGATGATTCTGGGTACCAGCAGGATGGCACCGAGGGTCATGGCGAGGATGAAGATGACGATGACAGGAGTGATGACCATGAAGGCTCTGCATGATTGGATGATGGTATGGTGGTTGCAGATGATGGCGAAGGTGGGGCGGCAAAAGATAAGAGTGAGGGTCAGGTGTTTGATGCGGATGCTGGAGATGATGCTGTTGCTGCGGCTGCCAATGACGAAGAAGATGATGACGACGACGATGTTGGCTCTTGGCTGTGTGGGTTGCAGATTCAGGAGGTGGGTTCATCTGTTCAGCGGCTTCGCGTCTTTCAGCGAGACCAATGTAGACGTTGCCAAGTATGGCCGGACGTGTACTTGAATGAAATCCACATATCTGACTCTCTCTTCCGATAGCCTAATGCGCTACGCATACGCTTCAGCGCTCTTTCATTGCCGGAGCTGTGTAGTCAAGTCTGCCTGACACAGGTGGGTGGTCTCATGTTCGGATCGTCCACCGCTGCCGATGGCCGCTCTGCAGGCTTTCCCATTTTGATATGCCTTTGGGCATCAGTTTATGAGTTTCGGGGGTTATGCACCGACAGATTTGAGGTTTTGTGTCTTCGCCTGCTAGATTGAGCAGGTCTGGGACGTGCTCGTGCTTTCGTCTTCAGGCATCAAAGGCTCAAAGTAGGCTTTGTTTGCAAGCGACCAGCTGTCGGACAGAGTTGACCAGAACTACTTGAGACACAGCGCGAGTGTTTTGTCAGCCATTTAATCTTCCCTTGTCCAGAGCAAGAACAACAGTGATCGCTCGATCAGGCCTGAATACATAGACGCCTCCTCATACATGCTCAAACCCATACTTGTGTCCATACGTATATCCATCCGCCAGTCCGTCCATCCATCCCTCCCTCCCTCCCTCCCTCCCTCCCTCCCTCCCTCCGTCCGTCCGTCCGTCCGTCCGTCCGTCCGTCCGTCCGTCCGTCCGTCCGTCCGTCCGTCAACCCACCTATACATACATGCATACATACTTACATACATACATGCCTACATACATACATACATACATACATACATACATACATACATACGTACGTACGTACGTACGTACATACATACGTACATACATACATCATACACATGTGCGCAGAGAGGTGCATTCGTCCATCCACCCATCAATCCATCCATCAATCCATCTAGCCATCCATCCATGCATCCATGCATCCATGCATCCATGCATCCATGCATCCATGCATCCATGCATCCATGCGTCCATCCAACCATGCATCCATACATGCGTATATGTATGCACATACACTGATACATATGTGAATCCATGCATTCGTCCATCCAGCTCATCCATCCAACCATCCATCTATGCACTATGCAAGAGTTCATTCACTCATCCATTCGTTCGCGCATACCAACTCGGTAAACACATGCATGCATGCTTACACACATACAGGCATACATGCATTGTTACACGCGTACATACATGTCCAACTCAACATAGGGAACAAATACATTGTACATGTATGTCTTTGTATATATATATATATATATGTATATATATATATATAGACATGTGCACACACACACGCGCATACATACATACATACATACATACATACATACATACATACATACATACATACATACATACATATATATATATATATATATATGAATACAAATATGTCTGTCAACGTACGCACTTTCATCCTTTTCAACCCGACACCCAAACGCCAGAGCCCTTTTCTCAGAGCCCTCAACCCGAAACCATACCCCCTGCAACGATGCGTGCAAGCTTTCACAACAAAAAAGGATACTCCGCTGTCTAGCAGGTACTTTCAGCCCACTGCAGTCCGTAAAGACCTGGATGAAGAGAGCCAGGTGCCGAGGTGTTTGGAGTTTGCGCTCTTACCGTTGTAGGGTATTGGGTTTAGCATTGTGGTCTTCGGTTTCAGAGTCTATTATCTGTGGTCTTGGCTTCGAGGTGTATTGCGTTCATGTTGCCACGGAGTAATTATTGAAACAGAGAGATTCTGCATAAGTGGGTTGGAGCCTGGGCGGCAGAACCGAATTTCGGACACTGTCGCTGAAAAGACAGCTGCACGATGTGCGTCCTTGAAGACACAGAGTGCATGTACATGCACATTGCTATATCAGCGTTCCAGGATCCGGAAGCGAGAAACAGCTACAAAGTCTCACCGCTATTTATGGCGGAGAGCCTGCTGTTACACACCCTGCAACCTGTATTCCATGTGAGGCAGCTGTGATACCTGTGGCTGCATGACATCCCAGCCCCGGTTTCGATCCGACAGGTGCCAGGCACCGCATCCCGCAGAACTCAAACCCCAAACCCCAAGCTTTTGCGGTCAGTCTGTTGCACCTTTCTGCGTGAACCCTGATCGCCACCAGCTGTGCAGCGATTGATAGCCAGAATCTATTGCCATGTTCTTTCTTGGTGTTTGTCTTAGCCCTCATCTCATGCGGCCTTCTCACTTACGGGACTTGCAAGTTCCATGTCTTCGATGGCCCTATGGATAGTGACCGCACTTCTTGGAGCCATTTTGGGGTTTGGGCTTAGAAGATGGACTCTTATAAGGCAACCCCTAAAACCCTAAACCCTAAACCCCTAAACCCTTAAGCCGATAGAGCTTTTGATGAGGCATCAGCTGTCTCGGAAGGAAGGGTTAGCAGCAGTTCCGGGTTTCGAGGTGCTCAGGTGTACCCTAACCCTACACCCATAAACCTTAATCCCTAGCCCCTAAGCCCTAAGCCCTGAACCCATGGACAGTTGAACGCCTAAAAACCCGAGAGGTTTTCCAGGCTTGCCTCTCATCGCGAGATAACCTGAACTCGACACCGCAGAAACATTTTTGTTTTGAACTGAGGGCAGAGGGGCCCCTGCCAAAGCGTGCGGAACTCGATTCAGGGTTGTAGTGATTTCGGAGTGTCGAGCTTGGAGTACTAGAGTTAAAATTATGGTTTGATTTTTGGGTCCCCGGTTTTGAGCTTCAACATTGCACTTAGTTTTGGTCAGGGTCTCAGGGTTTATGGTCTCGCGGTTCAGGCGTTCGGGTATCAGTACAAAGTGTGGCAGGGTTTGCTATAAGGGCTCGGTGATTTTACGATGCAGTCGTTCAGCCCTAAACCGAACCCTAAACACCAAACCCAAAGAGCCCTCAACACACAAAAAACAGATCTAAGTCCGAAAAACCCAAATCCTGATGCCGTATTTGAGACCCAAACCTTGGTCTGCACCTCAGGCCGCAACAGTGAGACTGAGCCGTTTCGTAGGCAGAAGGATTGCGTACAGGGTCTGAGGTTTAGTGTTAGGGTATACGATTTGGAGATTAATGATTAGGCTTTCGACTGAGGTTTCTGGGCTCTGGGTCGTCTTGCGACCAACAACTACTGCTACTGCCACTGCAGTGCCGCTACTGCTACTGCTACTGCTGCTGCTACGCGCATGCCCATTCCCCTGCTCCTACTCGCACTCCTACCGGTCCCCCTACTCCTGCTTCTCCTTCTTCTGATGCTGCTTCTGCTCCTGCTCCTGCCAATGCGCTACTGCTACTGCTTCTGGTACCACCACCTCTTCCACAACTGCCACTACTATTGCTCCTGCTGCTTCTGCCGCTACTGCTACTGCTACTGCTACTGCTACTGCTACTGCTACTGCTACTGCTACTGCTACTGTTACTGCTACTGCTACTACGACTGCGACTATTACGACGACGACGACGACAACGACGACGACACTACTACGACCTCAATGACTGCCACTACTTTGATACAAGAGCAGTTGTTGCTGCTGCTGTTGCTGTTTGCTCGTGCTGCTTAGCATTACTACTAGCATTTTCGGTAGTATGGTAGTACTGGCAAACTACTCTTCGCCAAACTACTCTTCGTACCAGGAATACACGCTCCTGTAGCATCTTTTGTTACAGTGATGGCCCATTTACTAGCAGTAGCAGTCGTAGAATTAGTAGAAGTGCTGTAGTGACCTGTGGAACTGCAAGTAGTGATTGTAATAGTGATTGTGATCGCATTGTTTGGCTTTTACCTTCCTGTTATGTGGAGGCAGGTTTACATGAGAGCTTCTGACGTGTGCAGCGGCGGGCCTTCGAGAGCTTGCGTCTCACACTTCACGTGCCTCGGACAAACAGGGGCTGCGCTCCAAAGGCCACACCCGACACAACGTAACCCAGGTGCTAGATCGAAAAGGCACCTTCGGAATCGAGTGCCCCTAGGCCGAAGCACTAACATCCCACGCCTCCCGAAGTTGCAGCCTCAAAGTTTTCGGCTCGGATGCATTGCACATTTGCCGTCAGCACTGTAACATGAACTGACCAGACGCCCAACAGTCTCAATTCAAATCCGTAGATTGAGGCTGAACAGCCTGAAAGCTTGGACACGCACGTCGCAGTCGCGTGGCAAGGCTTGAGAGGTGCAAGATTTTTGCGTGCACTTTTCACACAATACGACGAACTTGGAGCGCACCCCCTGTTTTTTCCGACTAGGAGGAACCTTCCCCCGTTTCCCTCGGTTTCTGATGTCTCCAAAGGAGCCTCCCGCGCCGGGGCCGGGGAGGGGACGAGGATCCCCAGCTCAGGATGATTTAGGGGCCCTATGATACTTGTAATACTTAGTATAGAGTTTAGGGCTTAGGGTGTTTAGGGTTTAGGGATACTTATAATGATACTTGTAATACTTAGTAGACTTAGTAGAGAGTTTAGGGTTCAGGGTGTTTAGGGTTTAGGGATACTTATAGTACTTAGAAGAGAGTTCCTCGAAGGGTTTCCTTTCAAGGGTTCTTCTGAGGGCTACTCACAATGGTTTAAGGCGTCTTAATAAGTAGAACAGGGTTTCGCTTTCTATTATACTTACTCCAGTTGCATTATTGTCGGTAATGATTCGAGCCAGTGCATTGAGCGTTTTTGGTGGAGGATGCGGCAGCCTATGGCGAGGATGTAGAAGGCTTCAGGGTTTTAGTGCTTGACTTAGGGATCCGGGTGCATCGCCTGGACCTGAACCAATGAGCCTTGACATTAAATATTACATCCTGAAACCTTAATCCTTAAATTCGTACCCGAATCCCTACTTTTGAAAAACCCGAGCATGGATCAGTCCTGCAGACGATCTTCATCGGCGCATGCGGTGGCAAAGAAGCAGAGACTTGCAACCCACCCATGTTGCCGCACATCGCAAAAGAGCGTCCGTGTGAATTTAGTTTTTTTTTTTCGGTTTAGGGTTTGGAGTCTGGGGTTTAGTAATTTCGGTGCTTCTCGACTTTACAACCTAAACCCAAAGGCCTTCAGCCCCGTAGGAGTTTAGGGTTTGGGGCTTCGGGGTCAGGCTTGTCATCTGACCCAAGGCCTGAGGCACGTGAGCACGAGCCCTCCAGCCAGTCTCCATCACATCTGCTGGCATTTTTATGGGGGCCTAGGCCTAAAGCCCTCAGCACCTACATCAAGTGCACCAAATCTTACAGCCGCCGCCACAACTTGCAACAGACCTTAAACCCTAAACCCTAAACCCTAAACCCTTAACTTGCAACAGACCTCTTTGTTCCCGCATGTATCCTAGACCCCGATCTCCCGGACCAAGCCGAGAAGTCTAAAGCTGCTGGGGCGTTACGAAAAGTACACGGTTTAGGGCTTATAAGGTTTATAGGGTTTATAAGGTTGATAGGGTTTATAGGGTTTACAAGGTTTATAGGGTTTAGGGTTTAGGAGGGGTATTTTGGGACTTTAAATGGTTTTTAGGGTTTAGGGTTTGTAGGTTTTATTCGGCAGCCTTCGTTGCACGATCTTTGTGGACAGGCACGGGCCCCACCCCGGCTGCGCCTGCCGTTGCAAGCCCAGCCGTGGGCCCAGGGGTGCTTCGCAGGGCTTTCTTCGGAATTCAGAGTTTCGGGGCTCAGGGGTATTTTGGGACTTTAAATTGAAGAAGTCCCATGCAGAAAAGATTGTAGAGTCTAGCCACATCAGATAACTATGTACAACGTCAGTACCTCTGGTTCTGGAACCAGCAGAGAAAACGCCTAGAGAGCTCTACACCTTGAGCCCGCAACTTCATGGAACCAAGAAGCTTAAATAGGGACCTTAACAATTAGAATACGGTTTGGCGGTATATTCTTGTGGATAACTATGTTGATGCCCACTCCTAACCCTCTAAAACTTTTGTCGAAGCGGTGAAACCCCGAAGCTTCAAGGCTTAAAGCCTTAACCACCATCGCCATGCGGAACTGTCAGAAAGTAAGGGGCCCTAGTATAGACCCTAAGTTCTAGGACCCTCTACATATCTTCTTTTACGGAAACCCAAGCAGGGCACCCCTAATTCTAAGAAACCGGCATGTGAGGACAAGCTGCCGCCCCATCTGCCGGAGGACATGCCAAGCTGCAAGGGGTTCAGGGGTTTCGAGTCTGTCTGTGGGTGGCTTCTGATTTCAGAAAGCTTCTACAAGCCTAGGTACGTCAATATACACAACGAAGAGCTCGTGTTCCAATGGGTACCTTGATGCGACACTGAATGTACAAGCTCCACTGTAGTATACATGCCCATGTTGCAGACAAGATCTGGAGGCTTGAGTTCTCTGTGGAAGGTTCATTGGAAGGACATTCAGCTGGATTTGCAGTCCTGGCCGTGAGGGGTTTGCAAAGGACCGGGCCATAGGTGTGCAAAGTCATAAGATGCTGCAGACGTTTACGCACCACCCTGAAGCCCTGCAGACGACCCTTAGGCACTTCACCTGAAATCCGAAAAAACAGTATCTTTAGTGCACATCCAGGACCTTAGTCGGCGGTTGGACCTCGCGCACGAGGAGTTGGCGAGGCTGCATGGGGTCGTACTACAGGAACCTGATTACCAGAACTTCCTCGTTTTGCCGGGTTGAGGTACGAGGGGTCTGGATTTAGATTGAGTGTGGGTGCTTCAGTAAAAAGCTTGCCTTAGTTCAGCCAAGGGAGCTATCCTTCTTACGCGCTGCATACTTACTTTGCTGACTTTGTTCCTGTGAACCTCGCATCGGAACAGCATACAACGGTCCAGGGCGGTAGCCAGTTTCAGGGAATTGGGAAGGAGTCAGGATTGTGTTTGTCGTTCTAGGCATGCAGAAAAATCCCAATGTCGGTGGCGAGTCGCCCCCCTTGCCTCTAAACCTGAAGCATCCCTAGACCCAAAACTTTTAAGAACCCCCAGCACTGAGCCCGATAATCTTAGGAGCACCTCACAAAGATCCTAACAAAATCCTGAAAGAATCCTTTACAACACTACATCCCAAAAGATGGCATCCAGTAGTATCCTTTGTAGTAATTAACAATCAATCCTTGCGTTGACCTTTTTTTAGCAACCCTTGCAGCATCCCTTGCAGATTGCCGTATCCTCAACCCGTATAACACGCCATACTAAAGTCTAAGCTCTCAGAGAAACCCTGTAGTAATTATTCCTTAAATTATCACGTATAGCCAGCATGATAGTAACCCGTCAAGGAAGCCTTCTAGCAACCCTTATAGTAATCCTTCACGGAAGCCTTCTAGTAATGCATTTTCTAAAGCCTTTTGACCCCAAGCCCTACATTCCCCTATAAACCCTAAAGCCTATAGACCCCAAACCCTACATGCCCCTATAAACCCTAGAACCTATAGACCCCCAACCCTACACCCTAAACCCTAAACCCTAAACCCTAAACCCTAAACCCTAAAGCCCTACATTCCCCTATCCGTCCGTTGCCGAAGGGAGCGTCTTCGGTCGGAGGAGCTCACGGCCGAGCTCACAAAGGCGCTCTCAGGGAGTAAGAAAGGGTTTAGGGTTCAGGGTTTAGGGTTTAGGGTTTAGTGTTTAGGGTTTAGGGTGTAGGGTTTAGGGTTTAGGGGTTTAGAGAGAGTAAGAAACCCAAAAAGGGTCCAAGTACCATTACAGTAGATACTTAGTGGGTATTTGGGCCCCTAAAGTATCTACTATAATGGTACTTGGACCCTTTGAGAAAGGAGGGCTTCAGAGGTTTAGCGTTTAGGGGTTTAGGCTTTAGAGTATTCGGGTGTGGGGCTCTAGGGGTTTAGGGCTTTAGGGTTTTCGGGGTTAAAAAATTGAGGGGTTAACGGTGCTGGAGTTTAGGGCTTAGGGTTCAGAGGGGGTTGTATATGTTTGATCTGGAGGGCTTGCAGGGTTTATAGGGATTTGCTAGGATTAGGATAAGGCGCAGTTTTCAAGACGTGTTTTTGTCATTGGCGGGTTTACACGTGCTTTCAGATACGGCTATAAAGGACGTCAGGTAC